TCATGGGATGTGCGTTGTGGTAGCTTGCCGTCAGCACGCTCTACACAGCAGCGGACTCAGTTGTGGCGGCTTGTGCTCACCAAGTATTGTTAGAGCGATTTACGACCAGCAGCACTGAGGGCACGGCGAGAAAATGAGAGAACAAAAAACGCCTGCATGAGCCTTTGGGAGTTCGCCCGGGATATCGTCCGAATCAAACTCAACCTCTAATGAGTTTGATTATAAGAAACTCAATATCGATTTTATTGAATTTACTCATTAGGAATGCAATTGAGTTTGCTCATTAAGAACTTAATATACTCTAAACGACTAAATTTTCACGAGGATCTAAATTTCGCGAATTTTGCGAATCGCCTACAATTCGCGAAAAATAAGTCCCGCGAACAATTCGGTCAATATGTGATCGCTACGGAAGCTACACTCGATTCTTGAAAATTAGAACCCGCGAATAATTTCAAATTTTCAGCTTTGGCCCGATTTGCGAAAATTTGAGCCCGCGAAAATTAAGTTGTTCAGAGTATATTATTTTGAATTCACTCATTACTCAGAATGCAATTGCGTTTATTCATTAGGAATGTAATATATATATATATATATATATATATATATATATATATAGAGAGAGAGAGATGTATTTAATTTAATCATTAAGAATGCGATTTGAGTTTGCTCATAATGAACTCGATATTCATTTATTCGAGTTTACTCATTAGATATGCAAACGAGTTTTATTGTCAACAACTAAATATCGATTATTTTGAGTTTACTTATTGCATTTCCAAATGAGGTTCAACATTAATTTATTTTAATTATTTATTGAGATTACCTGCATCGCCTGGAGTCATCATTGCAGGGAGAGGTTATTAAAAACTGTTCACATGAATACAGAGGGAAACACATTTTTATTAAGCATGTTCCATTCTAATGCAGCTCGAAGATTAATTATTTTAAGTTTACTCAAATATATGAATGAGTTTTTTCATTAATTATTTTGAGCTTGGTCACTGGGCATGCACTTGAGTTTTATTACTTGACAGGCATTTCTTTGTCTCCTCATCAGAGATTCAACCGAGTTTTTGTCATCGGGTAGTTGACATCAGCTGGTTTGCGTCCTTTGGTGTTAAAGAACCCAGCAAGGGCACAGCTGCAAATAACTGAGTCTGTCAGAATAAGCATATTTCCTCAGATTCATATGAGCAAGAAATGGAATCCAGAACTTTTGACAACTCCGAGACCATAGCGTGCTTTATAATAACTCTAAGGTCACTGACAAGGTGAGAACAAAAGAGAGGAGCTTCCCTTGTTTCCCCTCAAGCTTACATCTCCCCCTCGAAAACGCTTCAACATCTCGTGCACATCAAGCGCGCGCGCGCTGTCGAAGCACGGTGGAAGGCATGGAGCGCGTGCTGAAGGCCGGGTGCTTAAAAAAACATGCCGAGCCGTTTTCACTCTGTCAGTGGCTATGTGGTGACATCATTGAGCCTATAATACTAGTCACTTTGTATAGAAAAGAAGCAATTCAATATTTTAAAGCTAGCAACTACTGGTGGCTCGTCTTGTCCTGGGTGGTGCTGTGCAGAAAAGCGAAAACGTATACCGGCTAGGAATCGCTTTTGTGGATTTCGCGGCAGCACCGAATGACCATTGCTTGTGCCAATGTTTTTTCACTAAGGGATAGGGTCTAATGACGTTGAAACACTGTTTACCACTTATCATACTTCCGAGGAGGGGATAGCATCTGGGAACCTTAATAAATGCTGAGGTAGTCACCGGCCAAATGAATATTTTTCATATGTAGGGCATATCAGGCAGTGGAGTAGTCAAGGGGAGTTGTGATCAGTGTGTTTCCTCCACGTTTCATGCTTTAAGGAATTATAATATAAGAAATTCCCAACAAAATGCAGGTTTTTTTTCAACGCATTTGCAAAAAAATTTGAATGGAACAGAGTTGCAAAAATTCGATTGAAACTCGAGTGTAGAAATTCTATTGAAACTCAATTGCAAAAATCCTATTTAAACACTATTGTCAAAATTCGATTGAAATGGCATTGCTACGAATTCAATTGAAACTCGGTGGCCAATATCCCGTGAAGATTCAAAGGACCACAGAAGAAAAGAAAAAAAAGCAATTGAGTTTCAATTGAGTCTCAACAGTGAATGTATACACTTTCAAGAAAAACTCGTTTTATTTTATTTGACTTTTTTGTGAGGGGAGAACACTTTAAGACACGCAGGGCGTGGCTTAATATGATCCCGCCTCTTGATTCATGATTGGTTCTTAGGTGTTCTTATCGGCTGCTGCCGCAGTCTGATTCGCGGCGGAGCAAGACGCCCGGCCCCTCCCCGCGTTTCTCTAGATGTCCGTTACTGCAGTAAGAGTTCTTTCCAAAGACCCCAGTGCGAATGAAAACAAAATGTTTGCACCTTTATCTTTCTTTCCAGTCGCTCGTCGAGTGAAATTATCAGTCAGTTATGACGAAGCAATCGAGTGGTTGTTGTATAAAGCTTTGTCCCACAGCAGAGCTGCTACATTACACAGCCAGAAAGCACTTTTAAAAAATCCAAATTCGTAACGGTAGACGTTTGCCAGAACATCCGTGTACGCATTGTTATATTCGTCTTTGAATTTTTTACTGGACAATGTAGACTGATGTGCTTTGTCGTCACATCAGTCTACGTTGATTTTTTATTTCCTCCGGCGCTGTGCCGATAGGGCCTGCGTCATTTCTGAAGCCAGGAAACCCATGTCGTGTACATAACTGCAACGGCAAATAAAAAACGAAAGGAAAAAGATACCACCAAGAACAAGAACTTTAGCGTCCCCCTGAAGAAAACGGAAGAAAAAAGGAAACTTGGTCTGGCCGTCGCTCATCCGTGTTTGCGTGTTTCTGACGTATACCATTATTGTCCGGCTTGACGAGCCAATCACCTCTCCTATGGCTGTGTACTCCCTCATTAGCGTAATGGCCGTCGTCATTCTGTTTTGTTGACCAACGTCTCGTCAACGGCGGATAGTAAGCTGTTTTTGAGTCAGCGAGCGCTAGAGGTATACGGTGGCGAACCTCCGTAACGACAATTTCAACCTCTCCAACTTCCAAGGGCACCGTCTTCGACGTCTGACCTCCCTGTCTGTGGCCTGTGCGAACCGTGTTTACCGAGGTAGTTTCGTTTTAATTACGTTTCACATGACGATTGTCCGTCGACGGTACAATTAAATCTCTTCAAAGCGCATATATGAAAAGCCTACGGGCGAAAGTTTCCATTTTTGTTTCTTTGTAGGCGCAGTCAGAGGTCAACTTCGCCAGTATGCTCCCCTATCGGAATGAAAATTATTATTCTAAAAAAATTCAACCCACAATACAAAGAAGGAAAAAAAAATTCAAGCGAGACTTTTTTGAAACGTCTATCAAACAACACTGGCGTCCGCCATGTTTTCGGCATTGCTTTATACGTGAAGCCTGTGATTGTATCCAAGTAGAACGCCGAGCGCTGTTCAGCTCGGTTAGCTATCCCAGCAGATAATGAACAGGGCCTGTGTGCGGGCTGCCGAATAGGCTAGCAGACGACGCTCGCAACGGAAAGAACTTCGTGCGCACGCGCCTAATCTCTCCCGTGACGCCGCATTTCTCCGCGGCACGGCGCTGGCCGTCCCGGCGGTCGACGCTCGCTTGATATTATTAAAAAATTTGGCCGCTGTACGTTTCTAAAAGGCTATCAAGAAATAATATCTGCTAACAAGACACGTGCATGTATACTATCGTGAAACATATTAAAAGCCCCTGAAAAGAAAAAAAAAATTTTTTTTTCGAACAGTCTGGCTGGAACACGTGTGTCAAACAATTTATTTTGCGCAAAAAAATAAATTAGAGCAGTATTGACGGCGCGAGGCGCGATTTAGTTGGTAGTCACATTCTCTCCACTTGTTCCCTCTTTCGACAATTCAGGCGCGTAGAGGAGAGGTGGATCGGCTGGGCCATCACGTTGAGGTGGCGAGAGCGTATGACCATCCCGTTGAGGTGGAAAGAGCATATGACCATTCCGGGACGTCATGGACTTTGCGCGCAAAATTCAAAATAAATCTCGCGCCGTCAATATTGGTTAAATGATTAATTTTTTTTTCGCGTAAAATTAATTTCTCGGCACGCTTGTCCCAACCAGACAATTAAAAAAATGTTTTTTAGAAATTTAACGATGTCGCAGAATTTGATGTTGGGGAGGAGATTATAACTGATGGCTGTTTATAATAGTTCGATATGCATCACCGAACGCATGAATGATTGCTTGCGACACGAATGTTTGGTCGTATTCTTGACACGAGAGGAAAATATTTCACTAAGCAACCTCTTCCACTTGTAACCTTGATATTAGTTCTGCGCACAACTCTTGGGGCAGTCCAAAAAGAAAAAGAAACGAAAAAAATGTTACGTTGGTAAACAAAATAAAAGCCGTTTACAACTCCCTGTAACGCCGAATTAGAGCGCAGCTCTTGAGGAGGAGGAGGGAAGAGTACTAAGAGTAGGGTATACTCCTCCTTTCTCCTGCTCCCCTCGTGATCCTCCTTGCTACTCCTCCTCCCTCGTCCTCTTCCCCTCCTCCTTCACCCCCTCCTTCTTCCTCACCTCCTCCTCCTCCCCTCATTCTTCAACCTCCTCCCCTCGTCTCCTCCTCCTCCTCCCTCCTTCCCCTCCACCTCCCTCCTACTCCTGTCCTCCTTGGGAGTGGTCACCGGACCTCGGAAGGGGGGGGGGGTCACGTGACCTGTGGGGGAGGGGTCACATGACCTGGAGGGGGGTCACGTGGCATGAGAGGGTCACGTGACCTCGTGGGGGGGGGCACGTGACCTCGCGGTTACGCCGACGGCGACGGCGACGCCGACGCCGCTCAAGCCGGAAACGGGCCCCTATAGAGCTGCGCTCTAAAAAAAATAAAATCTGTTACTTCGCAGCATTTTTTAAGGTTTATTATTTGGTCAAGTTGTGTCAATAATTTCATTTTCTTAGATCACAACTCGTGCGAAGAAAGGCGAGAGCTGCGGTTGCAGCTCAAGAAGGAAAATCTTATTGCTGAAGAAGCGTGGGTCCCGACGTGCGACGCCAGAGGAGGCTACGAGGCCAAGCAGTGCAAGAGCAACAAGTAAGAGGATTGATATAACACTTAAAACATAAAAGGGAAGCAAGTAGTCATCTTTATAAAAAAATTTGAGACTACGAGAACACGAATAGGGGAGGTGGTAAACATACACTACACCTTGGAAAAGAACCGTGTGGCGCCGCACAGTCCTTGAACTGTCAACAAACTCAGGTCTTTCGACCCCTTAAACACATAATCACCACCAACTCGCTGACAAAACTTCTCCAGTCCACCCACAGAAGAAAAAATCACCCTTCAGTATATCCCTATATCCCTTTCAAAAGACTGCATACGACACGGACAAAACAATCTTTGACAACGGAGAAGTCGATTTCGTGGTTCTAAAAAAAAAAAAAAAACTACAACTCGTATCCCAAGAAAAAGCGCACAACACGTATACAGGAAAAAAAAATCTAAACAGAAAATACGTGTTTTCTATTCTTAATATCTATAGTTTAGTAATCCATTCACGTAGGAAGGGGACTTCGAGCCATAAGAAGGATCATATTTGTTTATCCAAGATAATGGAAGGATTACCTACGTGACTGCCAAAGCTCACTCGCTTTTTTAATGGTTTTTCCTGCTGCACACGTCACCAACATCACCCGCCATCGTTTATAAAACTCTCCCTACTATATCTATTAATAAATCTCACCTTTATTGAGTAATGACGGAATATATCCTTGACTGTTTTCGTGTGACAACGAATAAACGACCACATCAAGGTGGGAGTTGGTTTTTTCCCTGCCACAAGCAAAGGCCTCTATCAAAGGTAAATTGAATTCATAAAAAAAAACAAAAAGACTAGGAAATCGTCTTTTAAAAACTTTGCCACCAATTTTAACCTTGACGCGTTTTTTATGAATCCTACAATCTGATCTAATGCAGACGTTGCGAAGTAGAATGATATATAAACATATCGTTTTGACCAGGTTATATTTCACCCCAATAACAACTCCAAAACTCTTCTCCAATAACTTGAAATACAGAACTTCTTGGTAGCTCTCAGAGTTAGACACCATATTTTTTTCTTTTTGGAGACAGTGGTCACCGTAAAGGCCCGTTCACTCTCTTGCGACCTCTTAAAATTGGGTTCCTTGAAACCTCTAAAGGCCCGTTCACACTCTTGCGACCGAGTACGACCGAGTACGACTGAGAGAGACGAGGATCTCTTACAACTTCTTAAATGTTTTTAAAATGAGGGAACACACTGGTATTGTGGCGCCATCTATGCGGTGACCCTGGAACTGCATTTCACAAGAGCGAAGGTTTTGCGGGATTTCCGAGGTCAAATGTGCGTAATAACCATAAAAAGGCTAGTTTATAACATTGACAAAAGTTTTTCGAGCCAAGAAAGAAAGGATAATGTTCGAGAAATAAAAAAAAATATATGCCGGACCGCCGAGTTTACACTGCTTCCCAATAGATGGCGCCAGTGTGTTCTCTGGTTTAAGAAGTTTTAAGGAACCTAGGTTTAAGAGGTCGCAAGAGTGTGAACGGGCCTTTAAAACGAGAGGAACGAGAGGACACACTGGCGCCATCTATTGGGTAGCAGTGTAAACTTGGCGGTCTGGCATATTTTCTATTTCTCTCGCGCATTATCCTTTCTTTCTTGGCTCGAAAAACTTTTTTCACCGTTATAAACGAACCTTTCTTATAGTTATTACGCGCAATTGACCTCGGAAATCCCTCAAAACCTTCGCTCTTGTGGAGTGTAGTTCCAGGGTCACCGCATAGATGGCGCCAGCGTGTCAGTGTGTTCTTTCCTCCTAAGAAATTTTAAGAGGTTTTAACAAGTCTCGTCTCTCTCGGTCGTACTCCGTTGCAGGAGTGTGAACGGGACTTTATACAATTTGTTTTTCAACCAAGCCTTCCTCTGATTCAGCAACCTCCTCGAATGAAACTAACAGTATAAGTATTTCACGTCCGAAAAGGGCACCCTGCGCGCTTTGCAACGAAAATCTCCCATAATTTTTACGAACATTTCCGGATCGCCGAGCAAAACTGTATTTTCCAGAAGTATGAACCCCCAGAGACCCTAACCCCTTTCCTTTTTAACATAAATTCCGAGGGGACTTTTTTCCACATGTCCCTGTTCAGCAATCACCATGCTAGCACTACACATTCTATATGACGTCGCTTCAGAGTAACATTTCTTTGTCCTTTCTGAATAATTCATTGGATCCTGGGAAAGTAGCGGCATTTCCTTCCCTGCCTGCTAGCACAACACAAACATACTGACACGAATACGACCGACACCTTGCAAGGCGATTAGCTGATCGGTTTGTGTTGCCCTGACAATCGTCATTTCGGTCTTTTGAAGTCTGCGAAGCTTCGAAAAGGTCGCTGTGAACCAGTCACGCCAAAATCTCTATGGAGCACCGCCGTACTGAAAGCGTTCCTCGCCATTATATGCGTCTTTGGCACTGTGTATGCAGTTAAATTCTCAATCCTGCTTATTTACACATGCTTATTTACACAGGCATCTTACAATTATATTGTTTTTCTTGTGTATTTCAAAAGAGGATTTTTTTCAATGCCAGCAGTGCAAAGATGAGATGTTATTTCGCCGGTGAGTGGATAACGAAATCTGGACATTCAAGAAATGCCTTTATAAAGCAATTTGTCACCGCGAATTTTGATCGGCTAACCAAGACTGAAGAGGTTGAGAAGAAACTGCTCATTGACCCCGTAAGTGATGACGCCACAACATGGCGCTGTACTCCAAACAAACCGTTGCTAGGGCCGTTGTTATGGACAAATGCATCGGGGCTCGACGTGAGGTTAGATTCTGTCTGATAAAAATAAATACAATTTTTAAGCAGTGTTGTGCTGTGTTTGTATTGTGTTTTCTCAATATTGAATCATGAAGACAATTGTTTCGTCTCAGTGCCGTTTAACGACCATTAAAGCCCGTCATAAAGTTTCACAGCCTACTTGCCTTGCTAGATGGCTACGCGGGTTCAATGGTTCTTTTTGAGGGAGCACGCGATAAAAAGTGTGACCGACAAAAAAAAAAAAAAGGGCCGGTTACACCTATATAGGTGTTTTGAAGTTTGCTGTGCATTCTGCAAAGCCTTGTTTTACTTAGTATAGGGCTTTCTATCGCAAATGCACTCTGTGCATTTGCGGTGGGGTGGCTGGATCAATTAATTTTTTTTGTATTTCATAAATTAGGATTTTTACATGCCTTTTTGTTTTCCTTATGCTAACTTTTAAAGGAAATGAGCAAAACAGCAAGAAGAACAAGGTATTACAGTGTTGAAACATTTGGTGGTTACATACATGTACTTGCGAAAACCAAAATATTCAACGTGTCTCGAGCTTTCAAGACCGCAAGACGAGCTCCTAATAATAATCGCAAAGTATATTGTATAGATCGACTTTGCCTTGCGAAATGTGAAAATCTAATATCGTCTCTGCAAAAAAACAAAACAAAAAAAAAACTTTTTAGAGGGAAGGTTGCGATTGTGTAGGGTAAGGTGGTGCAAAATGAGAAAGAAAAAAAATTAATTTCAATGGTAATTTTTATTTTTGCATTAATACAAAAAAAAAAAACGCAGCATGGGGATTTTCTTAGATGTCTTGGCTCTATGGTCAGTATATAGTACTTAACTGGAGCATGCGAAACATTAGACAAAACTACAATATAGGGAAGTCACACAATGTCTCATTTTGCCCCGCCATGTGGGGCAAAGTGAGACGACATAGCGGGGTGCAATGAGACATACTTAAAAAAAAAAGAAACCTGATATCCGTTCAGTTTTTGCATTAAAGATACTTGAAACGGACTGTGTGAGCTGCAACACAGTCTTCACGAGCAACTCCTTGCATTCCATAGATTCGATGCATATGAAAGCGGGTCTGCTTGGCTCCAAAGTTCTTTGCATACCATTGCACTGCCTGTCTCTTATGGTGTGCATCTCAAGCTCTACAGAACGCTAGGACGCTGGGGCGCATCTTCAGAGAATCATTAATTATCTTTCTTTTCGGTTTCTCTTTTTTAGGAAGGGGAGAGGGGACCAGTAGAACGCCGATTCTTGGTTGCTTTTGCCAGCATCAGCTTTGCCTTGTGGAGAAATGACGTTAGAACAGTGATATTCTTGAAAGTTGAAACGTCGGAAAGCACGCGCCTTTTGTAGCCCAGCCGTTTCTTGTGGAACCTCTACTCTTCATATGCACCGAACCGTTTGACTCGCCTTTGAAGTTCATCCTTTAGTACGCCAAAAAGTGTGACAGCAGTGCGAAGGGATGACACTGTTGCTTGACACTTTCAAAAGCTTTGTTCGTGTCAATTTCGCTCTATAAAGCCCGTGTTGTTTTTCTTTTATACGTTCAGACCATCTTAGACACCGGGAGAAAAATAATATGGCTCAGGAGCGACCAGGAGACTTGTGCGTTATTTACATGCGCGTTGTAGGATGCCAGATTGTCGTGCTTTGCCCCGCGCGTATCCCGTTAGGTAAATAATTATTTCGTTAAAAACACACAACCACAGATTGCTCAAATTTAGTCCGCATTGAGCTAATAAAGCATATCAATAAAATTAAAGCTTAGCTTGGGAGAATAGCCGGTGCCAACCCGAGGTGCACGTCTCGAAGGGAAACCTCGCGCTGAATTTCGCCCCTTTTTGGCGGGGGATGAACACGCCAACTTCAACCCCGCACTTATTATTCCGGGACACTCTTGCCGATAGTCTCAATTTTTACACGTGCAAAGTGTACATATCACGGCACCCCTATGGGAAGTTTGAACGTACTCCAATTGCTTGCCTGGAGCTGAGCGGCGCTAAATACCCTGGGAGAGTAGCGCCAATCAACCAAGCACAACACCCTAAGAACCAAATGTGCCTCAAGGTTCAGTTTTCATAAACCATATCATATGTCAATATTAAAAAGAAACTCATATTTTTATAATGCTTACGATGTCTGCTAATCATGCGACAAACTACGTCCACTCTTGATGCGGTGTTCGAGTACCACGAGTCGTTGAGACGGAATGAC